TAGAAGGTAGACTGCCACTGTAGTTCATGGGATAGCAATAAGCAATGGTGCCTAATACACAACAATCTTGCAATCTTGCAAAATCTTGCGTTTCCTCAACGTTTACTCCTTACATAGCTTGATAAGCAGTTTGAGCATTCTCGAGTTGTCCACCTCCAGTTTGAATTCGTTCAGGAGCATGTCCGTAGTGAATAAGGAGGTTTCGAACTAAAAAAACCGATATGGTATTCCGAGTGAATTCCCGCAGAGCTCACCTTGTTGACAATGTGATTGCAGTATTTGAAAGCCAGTTGTTCCGAAGTGGGGTAGTTGGACAAATCCTTCACTTGAGTGAGAAGAATTTGAGCCAACGACTTCAAATCATCCGAATAGGTCGGGTTTGCCATGAAACCCACCCCATTAGAGGCGTCCATCTCCTCGGGAATCTTCAGTGCATTATCACTACGCCCTAAAATGCAATGTTGAAGCACATGAGTTACAATCCTCACCAGTGGCCATAGACAGAATAAGGCGACCCAAACATATAAGATCTTTCTGCTGTTGATGCGCTATCGAGCTCTGCTGCTGCTGCTGCTGTTGTGGCGCCTGGCCAGTGGTGGTCCGAGAGGAGGCCACCCATGCTGTCGGCGGCGCTAGGCCGTTTCTAGTAGGTGGCTGTATCGATAGAGAGCATAAGACAAAGCCATCGTTGGAGGTGGGCACTCACTGACTCCTGTGCCAAGGCATCCAATAGACCCACACAGTTCAAGTAGACCCGTGGTGGGTAGAGAAAGGCGGTGTCGGTTACCAGAATCTGACGGGACTCAACTTGGCCATACCGATCCTCGAACAGGCAAGTGGTCACCTTCGTTGGATGGATGACTTTCGCAGAGAGGCCATGACTGTGAATGTACTTGAGACACATGATAAGCTGGCTCAGTACGTCCTGCAACATCACACAACCATCCAACGTGGCTTAACGGTATAACTCAGCGCAGGCTACCGCGAGACCCCGAGTTCCATCCCCGCACCCACCCATATAACATGTTCAGGTATTCCCCCAATCCCATTCTGTTTAAGCGTAGGCGAGTCTATGAATACCGACTGCAGTGTCGCCACCGAGGGTATATAATCATACACATAAACCTAACAAGACGACCTGTCACCACTTCACTAGCGGAGCGATACCCTACCAAGGACCCTCCATCTTGACTAGGGTTCTCAGCTTCAATAAAATCCCTCGTCCCGAAGGCTTGCCGTAAGGGTACTATACATGGATGGTGCTGAATAACAGCACAAGTGTCTACGACATCAAGTCGGCAACCTACAATGGCGCTCCACGTTCTAACAGCCTCTGTGACCAAGTCAAAGTTGCTCAGGCTGAACCCATCAACTCGACATAGGCAATAGACATAGGAGTCCTACACACGACCACAACACAGCAAGTACCAGATCGCACGTCAGCGCGAAAACCATGATGCAGATGAAAATGACCCCAACAGTGCACCCCTCCCTACCGCGACAGAGAGAGCCTTATAGAAATAGGTCTTGTACTGGTATCCAAAGTAAGAGCCATTGCCAACATTACTACTACTGCTACTGCTGCTACTGCCGACCTTCGTCTGGCCCTCAACAGCAGGAGCGGAAGCCGTGATTACAGCTTGTCGAGTATTGCTACCTCCCTCCGGTAATGATAATAATGTATGATACTTATTCTGGACGAAATCGGGAACTACACGGAAGCAACAATGCAAAAATCGATGCACATCCGCCCAAGCCAACAACACGTTATGCTTTTTTCTATCATAACTCCCATATAGCTTTCATAAAAAAAGCTGTTTTCGCTACTTTCCACCCTAGCAGTCTTATAACTATCGATTCAAGATGGTTATCAGGCCCAACGATTGTGGTGGAGTGAAATATTCCGACAATCTTACCAGCAGGCATGTTGGAATCAACAGGATAGTCTCTGTTAGAAAGCACGGTATTCACACGGTGCATCTGCAATTCCTTCCGTATAGTCTGAGGATCACACGAGTGATAATAACAAATACTCATCGCTTCGCTCCGCCTACTGGGTCGGCACTTAACGAAGTGGCATGTGGTGGTGGGCGCTCCAACATGTAGGGAGGCAGGGGCGCGGGCTTCTCGATCGGTGGGATGGGCGACCTCGGAACCCTGCCACTAGGGGGCCTCATGCCTTTACCCACCGCTGATGATGGCAATACAAAGGGAGGTGGCCCAGAGGAGGACGTTGATGAGGAGAGCGGAGGGGGACGGTTGGGGGAACTGCAATGTACTGATCTCAGTCATCCAACCAAATGTATATTCCACCTGTCCCACGGCTAGTCCGCGATGCAATGCATTTCGCAGGACGAAAGAACGCGAAACGAAGAGCGTCGTAAAATTTCACGCCGGGGAAATATGATACCACACCGAGTCGAATTTCCCACATTGACTATAGCCAATTCCAATTGAAAAGTATGACCATCACCCCACTACCCTCCTGTAGCCCTCGGTGGCGAGTCCATCGTCTGTGCGGCACTTTGCGGAGTCCCATCCCCTCCTATCACCATTGCAGCATTTCTGTTATTGCTACTACTACTACTACCAGTAACAGCAGCACCTGTGCCTTGGCTGGACCTATGATATGCATTGCTACCATTCCCCATCCGTTCACTGTAACTACTACTACTTTGATGACATTTTAGGTACGGCTGGTGGGGGCCCGGGAGGAGGAGGGGGAGGTGGGGGCATTCCCGGTGGTGGGCCCCAGACTGATGATGCTAGACCGGTAGTAGACGGAGGCAGCGGAGTAGGGGGTGGACCCCAGCATGGGGCACGGGGGGCAGGCTGCTTAGCTGAGGTCCGAGAAGGTGGGGGAGGTGAACCTGAACCCGAACCTGGCTCCATCGGCTTGCTACTGCCACGCAGGGATCGTATACGTTCTAGATAGGTGATTAAAGATGATCTTATTATGTATTAATACCACACCTCTGTCAAATCCTAACTCATAACCCATGACTCACTTGCTGCCTTCTCCAACGCACTACTGCTCGGGGGTAACCTGAAAGATACCCAAAGATTCCCTCCAACGCGCCTCAGCCGCCCCTCCCTTGCCTCCTACTCGGGGAATGCTGATCGTGAGAGTGGAGATAGAGTCCCTTTGGCATACTCGGGTGGTGGTGATGCGGCAGACTGAGGAGAAACAGATTCAAGGGATGTCGATCGACCCGGGTTTATGATCACGTCCTTGCCCTCTCTCTTCCTAGTGAGAACAGTCTTGGGCCTAGCAGTAGCCGAGCCACTGCCAGCAGTGCTACTACCACCTGAATTCGGCGAGTTACGGTATTCAATAACAGTATATGATACCACTGCTCTTCCTCCGTCTGGAGGCTCCCGAGGATGGCGTCGGCTTGCGGGCAGTGGTGGTGGTGCTCTGATGGCCGCTGGGATGGGCCGGCCGACCCGTAGCAGATCGATTGGGAGAGTGATGGGCGTAGGTACAGGAGTCCCCGAACTCACTGAGGAGAGTATCCTAGGTCGACTCTGGCAAGATACAAAGTAGGTCACTTCCCGTACTACCACTTTCCCAAGTACGTCCAGTTGCGGCATGGGGCCACTCCCGAGTTGTCGTTGTTGCTGTTTATATTACTATCTCTTCTACTCATAACAACAGATTAAAATACCCCTGAAAATGAGTCCACCGATACGGCAGAGGGCGAAGACAGGTGCTAAACTACTCCTGTGACAACCTGATGCCTTTCAACAACTCCCTCAATTTCGTCGCGAGTGACGCATCGCCCCATGATTAATGTGAACCTCAAACGCAATGCAGGATGGGTAAACAAGGTGCTTGTATTCAACATATTATGAATCCGTCAGTCGGCTATCCCTAACGTTGCGAATTTTAAAAGATCGATATGGCAAACGTGCGCCGAAATTTGAGCGGAGCGATGCACTGACTGTGCACAATATGAACTCGGCAACACTTCCCTATTTAAGGCTGGCATTCATAATGGCTGGTGGAGGAGGAATGGCAGCAGCATCATCAGGGCCGGCAGCTGTCTACTCGTCCGAGAACGAACAAGTGCTTTATGTTAGAGATGTTAGAGTGAGGATAAGGCCCCTCGATAGGGAAGAGTAAGTCCGACCATATCATATGATAGCCTCGGTAGAACCAAGTCTAGATACTCTGCGAACCTCACGTTGAAGCTATCCTTACAGTCACCAAGTGCCTCCTCCAACTCGGGGAATGGGAGCCGAGGAGGTGTGCCCGGTGCTCTTATGATAACCATTACGAACAGTCGGGACCCGTTCTTCCTGTAGTACTGGGAGCCACGATTTGGGCGAGGTGTGGTATGGAAGGTACACGCTGTCCCTTGCTGAGACCGACTACCACACTCTCAAGACGGAACAAAGGCTACTTGTCGACTTCCAAAACTTCCCTAAGATGATTACTGAACTCGTCGCTGAATGCGTAAAATGGGGGTATGTCATCTTACTGGTGAAGTGCTGCTGCCCTTAATCAGGCCCACAATGGGAGCAGCCCTCCGACAGGAGGTCAAAACATGTCCGTCTACTTAGCAGTGGGGGAATCGACTGTTGAATCAACGCTGAGCATAATAGAAGCTAATCAGTTCAGAGAGATCACCCACCTGTGCTTAAGAATGCGGAAAGGTAATTCTACTGGTGAAATCCTAATGAAGTTGAGCTCTGTGGGAGAGGCACATGACGTCTATGTTGCTCATCCTCATCAAAAGATTGTGGTCATGCAGGCACAGATGAAGTATTAAAGCATTATCTAGCTTCTAAGCTGAGTCACTTCCAGCAGCTTGCTGAGAGACTCGAGGAGACATTGTGCAACACAGAGAAGGAACTAAGGTGGGGTCGATGGTCGAATTGGGGCATACTGGTAGTGGTGATGGTGGTGGTCGTCAGGCGAGTGACGACAGAGCGACAGTCTCAAGCGGACGAGATCAATCTGATGAAGGTAAGCGGTAGGGTGTTTTTGCGGGAAGTGAGCTTCCTGTTGATCTGTGGTTAGGGAGGTAGTGCTTGTCGGCGTACGAGACCTTGTGTGGCCTTATATAGGGGTATTACTTTTATTCATTCCAGGCGGAGCGGTGTCAGCTCGAACAGAGCCTCAAGGCTGTTCACGAGAGGGAGTTAGCCGAGATTAGCGAACGGCATGCTCGGGAGATTCGAGACAATCACCACACGTAGCCGCATCGCAGACGACTCGAATCGGCTTTATTCGTTCCTAATAGACTCACGGCGGAGCGGGACAATGTAGTGAAGGAGTTGTCGACTCAGCTGGAGACCGCTCAGGCGGCAGCAGAATCATCAACGAAAGCAGCGACAGAGGCTAATGAGAAGGTGGATAGAAATGTCGGCTGCTGGGATCGAACCGGGGTTCTCTTTCAGATAGTAGTACTTGAGAACTCATTAGCCAGCTTGACTCGGAAGCTTGAAGCTGCCTCGAAGGAGTTGGAAGAGGACAAGGAGCGGTATGGATCTACGAGTGCTGAGGTGAAAAGGCTCGAAAAAGAGAAGTACTGGAGTAGCTTAGCTATGGCTTTTTTTGGAAGAATCGCTGTCCCCTAGTTACGCACTAGTAAAACGACTGTCTGAGGCGGAGGTGTCTCTGGCCCTCTCCAAAGAGCAGTTAGTAGCAAAGGAGGAGCTTGCTAGTAGGAGGATATATACAACTGTATAGTCTGTATCGTTTCGAGTATATACACTATGCGCAATCTCAAGAGTGCGTTTCGTGTCACCAGCGTGTCACCTTGGGTGAGATACTGTATATATGTTCTCCTAACACTATTATATTGTCTTCGGAGCAAATTCTGGACGAAAAATTTTTTGTTGAAATTCCCATGTACTGTACAACAGCGTGAAACTTACGCCGTATGGTTCGAGCGTAGTCGCTACTTCAATCTTTATAGTTGCTGAGTAGTTGTTGTTGTTGGACTATAGTGAGGTCGCGATAGAATATGACGCCCACGTACACGAGATTAGTGGGATGGTTGATCACAGATAAGTCGAGAGAGCTGCTGGAGCAGGCTAACCAACAGAAGTCATCGTTGGAAGAACAGATACAAATGTGCGGCTTGTGAGGTTCGAACTCGGGACCATGTGGATGGCAGGTATCGGAGTAGTCTCACTCAGCTAGAAGAGAAGCTGAGTGTTAGCTTCAAAGAGACCACAAAGGGCAATGAAGTGATCAAGAAGCTGCAGGATCAGATCAAATCATATAAGTCTAGAGTGAAGGGTCTAAAACAGGTGATCGGGAATTGGTTCATCATACCACTCTTTTCTCGAATCGTATTCTCCTCACCATTGTGATGCTTAGTAAGTTGACTAATCGAATCTTCTTTAACTAGACTTGTCCGGTTAAAGGCATTGTTCTAGTTTTCTCATACTTGGTGATGGTCGGTCACTGTTGAAAGGGTCGACCCTTCTCCTGTTGCAGGCTATGCAGGATCACGAAGAGACGATCCACGAGTTGGACCACCGTCTGTTGGAGGAGCAGAGGTCTCATGACGACACCAAGCTGGAGCATAAGCGTATTGTATATTTTCGTCTGGGCAGTGGGAGCGGTGGCGTCGTTCAGGAGCTCCTGATGCGTTGGATAGAGCTCAGGAGGAGTGTGACTCGACTAGGGCTAAACTGGCGGAGGCACACAAACTACTAGAGTCGAATGAACAAGTGATTTCTTATCTTAACAAGCGTCTTACTGACCGAGTAGTAGTAGTAGTAGTAGTAGTAGTAATAGTAGTAGTAGTAGTAGTAGTAGTAGTAGTAGTAGTAGTAGTAGTAGTAGTAGTAGTAGTAGTAGTAGTAGTAGTAGTAGAAGTAGTAGTAGTAGTAGTAGTAGTAGTAGTAGTAGTAGTAGTAGTAGTAGTAGTAGTAGTAGTAGTAGTAGTAGCGGATGCTACTGTTCGATGAAGTGGATGGTAAGCAAAGTGATCAGGTGTTGTCCGGAGTCGAGACATCATCATCATCGTCGTCGTCGGCTGGTGCTGCTGGCTACTCAGCCTTGAGTCTGCCAGTACTACCATCACATAGGCAACGACCCAGTCAAGCAGCTATAGGGGCTGCTGCATCTAGCCATCATCAAACGGGGGCTACTAGTAGTAGGAGCCACTCGCCTAGCTCTACGAGGGCTGGTAGCGCGGGGACGGTGCTCGCTAATAGGACCAACGGTAAGACTGTATGAGTTCGGGGTGGTATCATAGTGGTTGGTGTAGTTTTCGAGGGGAGTGGTACGATGCAGCTAGCCAACAATTCTTCATCCTCGCTGGTCGTTGGGCGTCAGCCGGCGCCGTACCAGAGTGGACAGAGACTTGCATCGGGTTTCACAATACCTGGAGGGCAAGGGGCCTCTAGTAAGAGACCCAACCTGGAGGACATATCAGCTATTGGTGAGCTTAGCAGAGGATAGGGGTATTGGACCTCTCCTCCTGTTTTAGGACATCATCATCAAGCTATGGGTATGGAGAATCAGCCTCCGTCGTCCTCAACTACCACTCCTTCTGCTTCTGCCGCTCTTCACAGTAGACTGGCGGCTGGACCGGTACGATTCTTGCCCAAGTCTTGAGATAATTAGATCAAAGCACGCATTATTGACATCTCGGAGAAAATAGCCGCATTATTATAGCATGGCTGGTCTCACACTACGGTCCTGGTCTGTTGTGTTGTAAGGTCTATTTTTAATCGTTTTGCTACTGACTACCGTGTATCGGCGAATATCACCATAAAATGACCATTACGGGCAGTACGAGCTCAGCGGTTCTCTCATCACCCTTTGGGGACACTCCTCACCAATTGGTGACACAACCAAGCACCTTGATGTGGCGACTACCCATGATCGTTGCTGTTGATATGGGAAGTCTTCAGGTCTGAGGAACATTCCGAAGTGGTGGAGTCGCTCACACCAACGTTATCATTGGCTGATGTACATTTCGATCTCACCAAAGGCTTTCCTAGGATACCTCTAAAACTCACTTGGAAGGAAAAGCTAGCGAAGATCTTGGGGGCGTTGGTCACCAGGCCGCTAGTTCATCTGTTTATGGTTGTCGGGCAAATGCTGGCTTGTGCTCTGTCGGGTATATATGCTGCCTCCCAGCTTGTTGCTGCTGGCAGTCCGAGGTGAGAGAGGGGAGCCTCTGGTTTGGGGGAATTGTATTCGTCCAGAGTACCATCATACTTCCAACTCACAGAGGACGCTCTCAGCGATGGCCTCGAGGGATGTGTTGAAATCACATTTTCTGGTCTCAGGTGATGACTCTAGTTTATATGAAGTTGACTTGGTATTTTCCCAGTTACTGTGTGGTCTATACTGTGCTCTGCATTTGGGCGCTGACTCGAGTTTTTCAGCAAGTGTTCGTCCTACCGCTACAGCAAGGTCAGGTTTTCATGGATATCGCAGTATGGGGAGTTTATAGAGCGTTGCAGTAATCAGTGTGGTGAAATTTGACTACCTGTGTTGGTGACGAAATGAAAATTATGAAGAAATTTTGCGGAATTAGCGCCGGTTTATGCCCACTTATACGGGAGTTCGTATGTAAAATTGAGTTAACTCCTGAGCCCAGCTAGGGTAAGCGAACATATATCCCTAAAATGGCAATCACCATCATCATCAGTTTGTTGCGCGCGATCTCGTTGGGACGCATCACTGTGCTCATCATTGCTTTATTTTCTCAGTCCACTCAGTGTCGAGGGCGCTGCTCTCATTCATCCCACAGCCAGCGAGGGTATCTCGTCGCACTTACATGAGATTGGATTGCATAGTGCAGCCATTTCGTGCACTCGTACGGACTACCAAGATCTACCTCGACTATCGCAGCTCCTGGTTTTGGAAAAGGTCGGTCGGGGAAGAGGTGCCTCTTTTCTCTGGGCATTCTGATTTCACGTGGAGCGTCTAGACTCGCCTCGTAATCAATGAAGCCTGACTACACGTTCGTAGCGTCTGATATGGTGGATGAGGCGCTATCGTGATTCGATCTGAAGCCCTTGGCTGACTAGCTGGTTTAGCGTTTACTACATGTACAAGTATATAAGTGGGCTCATTTTCAGAATTTCAGCTTGAAAATTGCTCTGTAGAAAAAGTTACCTCTGCACACGTAATTTCGGTCTCTAGATGGCGCGTAGTGTATGACAGCTCGAGTATGGGGCATCTCGTTGACTAAACAGAACCCTCACCTACCACATGACCACATTCCTATAGGAGTCCTCAGCCAGAGCTGCCTTTCAACGTAGGTATATTCTGAGCCAAGTGGTTGATATTATAATACAGAGTTTGGCATGGCTGGAGCTGGGAGGTGTAGACGTCTTATCTCTCGGAGGAAGGACTCAGGTGAACTCTTGTTGGCCCTTTTTCGTGATGACCAAGGACAGTGTTGAATGTCCGTTTTCCTCAGCTGAGTTTCTCACTAATTATAGGAGTTTATATACAAATTCGGCTAGAGATGTCCAGTAGCCCACAGCACTTTCCCAAAATTTCCTCGAAATTGCATACGTTAACCGATGCATGTAGTTCGCTGATTAAGACCATCATTGTAGGTGGCCTCGTCTCGGCTGTTGATGAGCCATGCCTTCCTGCTATCCATTGACCTGCTATCAGCTCCACTGTTGTACTACCACTCCAATGTGAAGTTGGCAATTGCTTTTGATACTGCAATCGATTTTGGGTGATCGCTGGTACATCAGAGAGCTTTCTGGCGCTTTCCTGATGCCCAGATATGCTCTCGATTGGGTATTGGGGCTCTCTAATTTTGCCTCGTTCTTCCGCCCGGCGAGATGGTACCTTTTACGTCACGATAGATTTACAGTAAGCTCTTCGAGGAGGCGCTCGAGCGTGAGCGGAGCGACGCAGGTTTTTCTATCGACTATGCTGCCTCTGGCGGCAGTGATGACGAATTTCTATCAAGTATGGTCGTATTGCCGCGTGGGATGGGCGGCGCCATTCAGCTCTGTCAGATCGATAAATTGACAAGTGCTGGCGAGGCGTTCACGTGGTATGACACGCATCATACTATGGGTGGTGGCAGATTCTCGAGGAAGTCTAAACGAGCTAAGTCGGGACGAAGTCAGCAAGAGTCTGTCGTTTCCCGGCATCTAGTAGGTTTACATGGCTTATGTTGTTCATCACAGTCCTTGCCAGCTGCTGGGCACTGGGATTGCTCGTGGTCATTTATACGGTGGTGACTCAATTTGGCACTTCATGTGGGCCTGGCTTCGATCCTATGGCTTGGTGCCGGTGGTCTGTCCGTCCATTCCTAGGGGTACTCGACACCTTCTCCATTGGGTGCGATATGTATTGTCTTCAGCCGAATACTTGCGACTGTCGATTGGTGGTGGGCCGTACACATACAGTGGACGAAGAGAAGGGGGCATCTAAATGCGTCGCTTTGCCAGAGGTCATCACTATCTGTTTGAACGCCAAGATTCCGTTCTGGAGCGTGTGCTTGGGAGTACTTGCATCCCGACGTAGATGATTCATCACACTGGGTGAATGAGTGGTCCTTCCACGCTGCCTCAGCAGCATGGCACCATTCAGCAGCGGCATGGGTGTAGTTGACCATGTGCATCGATTTCATTGCTCGTTGGTTACGATTTCGACGATACTCATATTTAACGTTTTTCCATCAGATTGGCATCATTCCATCATCGTATGTTGCTCGTAGGTTCTGGATAAATGGCCCAGGGTAGAATATGTGGTCATTTCCCCTACGCCAAATGCACTTTGGCACTGTTCAGTGGGCGAGTTTCTCATTTGTTGAGCAAACGCTTCAAGTCGTATTAGGTTGATGATGACGAGGTCGACTGGATATCGGATAATATGCATTTCATCACTGGCCTCAGTCTCCCATATCAGAACATAACTCGATTCGATCAATCGTTCCGGTCGCTGACGTCACTTAGTCTTCCTTACAACTCCCTAACACGCCTGGATCCTGGGTTCCTACGGGCGAACCATCGACTCAGCCACTTGGCTCTCGAGATGAACAACTTGACGCATCTACCGAGAGAGTTTTTCAATCTTAATCGACTAGAACATGTACGCCTGATGGGCAACCCGGTATGTAGGAATCCTGTGTACGCTGGGGCTCTTGGGGACTTAGCTAATCGGGGTGTATCACCGTTGTGTGGTGACGCTCCTTGGGAAAATAAAAGGAATCAACGGGGAAAAACAGGAGACTCTGAATACTCGGAGTGAGGCGGCTATCCGTCTTTTTGGTGACCGACTTTGTCGTGTGAAGGTCTCCGATAAAAGATGAAATTATTTGCGGTGCGTCTCCCCGAGCTGATTCGTTGGCATTCGCCGCCATGTACTACAGGGACATTTGCAGCGTATATAAGCACGCGTAAAGTACCGCAGTTTTACGTTGATCACTCCGCCGTCTTAGACCGACTAGTGAATGCTTGATGGTGTGTGATGAAGTGGCGTCGTGGATCTCCTATATATCAGATGATAGTGATGGTGTACTGTCGCTTGCCGAGGTGAATCCCCACATGCCCCTGTGCGGCGGGAAGCCCTGTTGGGTAGATAAATCGCTACCTACAGCTCATCAGTATCCGGCCGTATTCATCCGACGAGGAGATGGAGTGCATGCTCCGTGTAATGGACTGTAGACAGGGCCCTTCAGAGGCAGCCTATCCCCCGACACCGTATACGATTGCTATAATGATGTCTGGTGGTGCTACTGACTGTGGCCATTGCCCGTATGATGTTAGATAAGTGTGGTATGATTCAGACAGCAGCATATGCTCTTTTCTAAGTTGAATGCGTTATTTATAAGATTCATGTAATTACAGTCGCACTCGTCGTAACGTCCACTAAGACTGTCATCATGCTCATCATGATCCCCTCTGCTCGTATATAGGCTATTTCCTCCTCCTCCGATTAGTGTCTTGTTGAGGTAGTTAGTCTCCACTACAGAACGGTGGCTACGGAGACGCGTTGAGGAAATGTAAGATGGTGTAAGAATAGCAAGATGCGAATGTCTCGCACGGAGACTTGCTACTCGTTAAATTGAATGTCGCCTCCTTCACCGTCGTATCCGTTACTGACTGGCCTCTCGTCCATTCGCAAGGCCCCTAAGTGGTCTATGAACGTAGTACGGGGTCTTCATTGATTTCCGCAGCGATGGACCGAGTGAATTCATCAGTGTTGGAGGAATATATGTTCGCTTCCCTCAGCTGAGGTCAGGAGTTTCCTAACTGATTTTAGAAGTTTACGCATTGATTTGGGTGGAAAGTCACCGAAGCCAACGAGAATTTCCTCAAAATGTGCATCGATTTCATTGTTTAGGGCCGAGGCCCATCCTCCCTGGTGAACTCTGAGGCCAACAAGATCCCGGGCCCTGGGGCGTATGCCAGCGAGAAAGCATCAGGGCGGATGGCAGGTCGGAGGAGCCGACTCGGAGGAGCCCGTTGAGGAGACCGCGACAGCCTTGGTCAGATACTTGACATCACCGCGGTTCGTCTTTGGTACCGCTTCTAGAGATCAGCTCAGTCGTAAGAAGGCTGAAACTGTCATACCCGGACCAGGGGCATACACTCCTAGGAATTCTGAAGGGTCGTCGGCCGCACAGTATTGAAAAAGAGGCCTGGGCCGTCAGCACAAGTCGTATAGGTACGCGTTTGGTAGAGCTACTAGGACCTCCATCGTTGATAAGAAAACTGATTCCCCTGGGCCAGGGTCTTACAGTGTGACACGCTCTCTAGGGGGACCAAGGTACTCCCACTGGATAGCTACGGACAATGGTATCATCGTTGCTCATAGTTACTCTACTGGGTCTAAGCCGGATGATTCTCGATTCCCTCGGTGGCCTGAACCTGGCCCTGGGCAGTAGGGCTCATCTTAGGTTGGTGTCATTGTGGTATGACTAGACTGCCAGTTACTCCTCTGTGTCGTCCTGTACGGTGTCTGGTCATGAGGCTGCACCAAGCTGGGGATTTGGGACCTCCCGGAGGTAGTATGATTACAGTCTTTCCACGGCATCGTCAGTTCTATCATGTAGGCCTCCCATTGGGTCATCGGTCGCTTCTGCCCGCCGCTCGGGAGCTGACTCAGCCCGGGGACCAGGTCCTGGTTCGTACGAGGTGGGGACTTCTATAGGACCAAAGACGAGTAGTAACGTTGTATGTGGCGACCCTTCAACGTGGTCTAATGTAGGCTACGGCTCGACGGCACCACAGTTTACCATACGCCAACGACGAAGGTCAGTGAAAAAAGGTAGTAGTGCGTAGTTATAGCTGGGTACATGTCTACTCCTTAGACCCTAGTCCAGGCCCTGGAGTTTACGGGGGTGCTTACACCCAGTTTGGGTGAGTACACGAGAGTCAGATATATCGTTAAGGTGTTGGCAGATACTAACGCTTCTTGTTATTTTGTTGTTAGTCGTCGTTCATGAGTGACAGTATACTCAGATTGATGTTGTTGCACCTATGATGTTGATGACGCTACACTGTTGTGTTCCTCGGCCGATTCGTCATTTTGCCATCAGCTATTACTACTAAAGTGTGTTACGATGCCTCTAACCTCGTCGGGCAGATGGGCGAGGTTTCTACAGTTTTTGATCAAGTATCTTGACAAATTTGGCGTTGGACGGTCGGCCTTAGGGGGCCGCGACGTCGAGGGAGGTAGTCGAAGGTAGGTGAAGGGTGATACGGAGGGGCAATGACTATATAGAGGAAATTAAAATGAAGTGTTAGCCGTTCGATGAGTACTACGAGGGGTAGGGACCGCTAGAAATCGGAGGCCTTGGAGACGCAGCCAGTGAGGTTCCTGATGTTCCTGATAAGGAACAGCTTTTGGAGGCTGAGCAGAACGTTGAGAGATTTGTTACTCATAGCAAAGGTCGGCGTCTCAAGCTGATGTTGCGGAAGTATGGTGAGAACGACATAGTACTGGCCAATGGCACCATAAACTCGAAATAGGTATAAAAGCGCTGCTTTGGCGTTAGCTGGTGGGAGATCGTTTGTGGTAATTGTAGTTAGTTGAGGAGTCGAAGACTGGGGGTATCCCTTTTCGATTCATGGATACTCTGCCTGGATGCTGCCGGAAGGGTTGGTCATAAGAGGCTAGGGATTCGACACAACCGTATTCGTTCGGATATCTTCATCCTCACATCAGTTGCATGTTATTGGACCCTTGATAGCCACAGTGCTCTCAGTCTTAGTTGAGAGTGATCCGAGTATCATAGGCTTGGTGCGTTTCCTCAGTAAGGTCAATTCAGTCTCGATTCAGTCGTCTCGAGGCGTAGGTGTGTCTCTAACTGAATTCCCATTCACCCCTTTGTGCTATTACCTTCCGTTCATCCTCCACGTCCACCACAAAGTGTTAGCTGCTTTATGTGAGTATATTAATGCCTATATCTCAATTCGTGGTGTTGGACATCATCGGCTGTGTGGTCTAGTGGTATGATTCTCGCTTAGGGTGCGAGAGGTCCCGAGTTCAATTCTCGGCACAGCCCTATCTTTAAATATGCATATCGGATTCCCGGTGCATCACAGATTCAGAACCTGTTTTCCCCTCATAATCCCGATTATCATATCACCATGCTAGGTGTGCTGGATCTGCAAGCAGCACTTGTTGTCCGCATTTGTCACACTACGTTCAGATTCTGCTCGTTCCAGCACGAGCTGCTATGCAAGCGAGGCTGTGCGCTTCGCCTGTTCTCGCTGCACGTAGACTCCTTCGTGAGGACTGTCGGGAGTCGACGTGGCCTGTGGGCTAGAAAAGGGGAGGCTTTGTCCAAAGTACATGCTGTTGGGAAGTTCCATCACTCCACCCACAGGGGCAGCAAATAGACGAGACGGTGTCTGCGCAAATTGGTGACCTTTCACCAGACCGCTGATCTGAACTGGCTTTTTCCAATGGACCATCCAAAAGCTGTACGTGGAATGAGCTTATTACTCAGATGCCATTGGAATACTTCTATGGCGGCAGATGCTCCGTCTCAGAGTCCGCAGATTAATCTCAGGAAGAGGATCGAACTCGCGTCTCGTTCCGCTCACTCTCCTGTAGACCTCGTTGGATACTAGTGCAGTGATGTTACCAAGTGTGGCCACTTGGCTTTCGGTTGCGCCGGGCTAATATCTACTGCAGATAGCTATGAACACAATGACCACCTTTCCTGGCTGAAACTGTAAGATCCGAAACACACATGCAGGATCGATGCAGTTGAATTCACTGAATGTCTGTCGACTCATCCCCTGGGTTTTCAGTATCAGTTTCCTCGTCGTCGTCCTCCAGAGTGTACGCAAAACCTTCATGGTCGCGAAGCCTTCTGGGACTGCCCTAAATACGAAATCGAATCCCCAAAGGTAGCAAGCGCCGGGTGTATCTCACCCTCTTGTGTCTGTCGAACAACTCTTTCTGAGCATCCTCCCGAACCTCAGCCGCAGTATAGTTGATTTCGCGACTGCCCCTGATTCCCTTAGCCCCTGACAGAGACGAGGTGGCGACACCACGATTGCTGTTGTCTTCGCAACCTACGCTGAGCCTCCATCAAATCTTCAGCGTCACCAAAGTTCTTCATGACCTTGAGCCGCGCCTTCTCCGCTTCATTTCGGATTCTCATACGCTCTTCGAAATCGGAGTCCTCTGAGACCTTATAGAAAAGCGGTTCGTTGTCCGCAGGTTCCACAGGAGGCAGTAAATCGGCGCCTGACGACAGCACAGCTCCGTTGCTCCTGACAATCTCCATAAAATCACCAAGGCGCAAGTCAACGTCGGCTGGAAGGACTGCCTCGGCGAAGGGTCGACGAGTGTCATTCTCACTCAACTGTCGTGCGAGTCGCTGAATCACATCATGGGCTGACTCAATGCTCTGACTGTCGGCAATCTATAAGGATTGGATATAAATTCCAAGATGATCCTCCCGGCATTTACCGCAACTTCGAGAACATCACCAAGTGCGACATCCTTGCTCATGTCCTCAGAGACCACCTTGGCGTCGATCAGCTGCTTCCAGAAAGACCCCACATAGCGCAGTCTTTTCTCCCGTGTACCTGTCAGGCAAATGACTTCCATTCGGCTGGCAATCTCCGAGCGTTTTCCTACCACACTGAGACCATTCTTGATAGGGCACCCGGATAACAGTGAATCCCAGTGCTTCAAGGATGCGATGTTTCAACAGGCTCGATGCAGTCCTCATGCTAGTGTCACGGTAGAAGTGATGTGGTCCATCGACTTCAAACGCGAAGGACTCCCCTACCAGAATCTGAACCAAGGTAACTGCTTATTCAAGTCCTCGACCTAAGCCGCTCACATCAATAGAATAAGGCCCTACGACGACTTCGTTTCGATGTCGCAAGCCAACCATTGTGAAGAACTTCGACACCTGCCTATGCAGCTGGGAAGTTTGACCCATCACATCCTCCGTGGCAGTGTTATAGGCACGAGCTCGGGCGAGGAGATCTTGATGCTGGCGGAGCGAAGCGATAATTGTTCTTATCTTTTCGTGGATCCCTAACTTACTTCCCTCTCCATTTTCTCCATAATAGACTTAGGGGCCAATAACCGAGCCCATAGATCGAATATTTGAAGTTGGATGACCGACGAGAAGATCATCTCCTTCCTGATTATCGACAGTAGAAAGACTACACTGAAAAGCCATAGTCAGGACTGACCTGAGTCGATTGGCTACTCCCAGAAGGGCGTGCACAGCGGCCTCTTGCCAGGGGTTGCTCTTGCCTATGTCGGTCACAGCAATGCCATAGAGGAGGGCGGGAGCCAGCTTTGGTTCGACTATCTGGTGCTGCTTCTCGAAGACCATCCTGTAGGCCGCATCAAACCAGGTTGGGTCGTGGATCCTGAAATGGGAGTTAGAGCAGCGGAGCGAAGCTGCTACCACTCCTACCTCAACTTTTGGTAATTCACAATGCACATCGTGACGCCACTCACAGAAAGGTTGGCATGCAAACGATGAGCCGCCGTCTGCGCCAGGCGCCGTGCAAAAATCTCATCTCGATAATTCAGTGAACCTGGCACAAGACAACTCCTTCTACCAGAAAAATTAAAGCCTCGTCGGTTGCATAAACCTACCGATGCACAGAAACCAGTTAGTTAGATCTGTTTCATTGAAATTAGCCAACTGCAACGTCGCCTGCTTAGTAGCTGCCCTCATAAAAGACCTATCCCATGAATCCTCATTCCCATCAGCTCATGCGGCTTACCTGTTGTATACTTTCATCATCCCAAGGGACATGGCCATTACAGACAACGTGCTACAACTGCATTGTGCTACTCTGGCTCTAACCTATAAGAATCTCATCTCAACCGTTTCGGAGCCTCCTGGATACCTCTTTTAAGATCTTGTCAACAAGTCTCTTATCCTTATGTTCGAACTTGGCCAATGCCACCATTATCGAACCAAGATTATAGGTAGATGTCCGCTCTACCATATGGTAGATTCTATTAGAGAAATATTGAGAGATACCTGATCAGCATCTCAGTGTTGGAATATGTGTTCGCTTTCCTCAACCAAGCTCAGATGTCCCCTCACTAGTTATCAAAGTGATCAAAGTGTACAGAAACCAACAAGAATATCCCAAAACCCTCTGAAAATTTCCCCATTGTCACCAACACATGTAGTTGACCATGTGCATATTTTTTCTTCACTACAATATACACTTCGGCTTTCGACGGAATAATGAAAATTATCCGCTGAAACGGAACTTGAAAGTCACGTCGCGAAACATGCAACTCCTTCTCCACCAAGAGAGCGAATATTCGCTGAATTTCACATTGTATGTTACGTCGTTACTCACTGCTATCAGGATTTCTACTTGCACAGACACGTGTACCCAATTGTTCCCCTCCATGAATGTTACATGACGGATAACAAATTCCTACGTACTGACCCCACGATATGGTCTTACCATGTATGTTCATCTTAGATCGGGCATAAGCCGCTAGTATTGCTGACAGATCATTGGGGGAAACCTACACAAGAGATACCCAAGTCGTCGGTTGTCCTCACACGGCAGAAGTTTACATCAGTTTTGGCCAACATTGCGTCCGCTGGTACCCGGTCTGCCTCCTTCGGTTCCTTCAACCTCTTCTTCCGAGCCTGCCGTCGCGCATTTGATAACTCGATACGCTCTCTGAGCCGCTGATTGGCAACAGCCTCGTAGACTCTAGCCTTAATCATGTTATAAAGCACAAAGTACCTATTAGGAATAACATCATCAGCAGCAGCAAGCACGGACGGGCCCGGATGATATCTCACATTCTCTGATCATGATCCTTAGTCATTTTAGACATCCCCCAGGCGATCAACCTGAGGGACTCTAACTTCAGCGCTAAATGAGGGTATCGGACGCCAACTGAGGAGCAGGCCAATTAAACCAGACTGGAACTACCCCATCCTAGTGCTTCTGCTACTTCAACTTTTTCAATCTCAAACTCAGCAAGTGGAATAACAAATCAGAAAAATGAAATTTATTTTTCAGAGAATGAAAGAACAGTTTCTCATGGAATGAAAGTGCAAATTCGAAATGAGAGTTCGATCTCCGTAGACCGCTCGGAAATCAAATTTAATTTTTCCAATACGATCTGGCATTTGTTGAATTTGAGATTGAAAAGTGTAGTAGTAACCTGTCCATCGATGTTCAGCAATGCATGTAGTTCACTGCTTGATAGCATAGCCACCGAATCTAGTAACATTGAGACAAAACTCTATATCAGAAATTGCTGGCTATGGACCTATTCAACTATACTGCAGCGGACACTCAGTCACTATCAAAGGAAACTCCACAACCGTGACCTCCTCATAAAAAGGACACGACGATAACCCTACCAGTGCCTCTGAAGATGATCTCATCATTAAGAGCCTTCACGAGGGCTGGATGCCTGATATCAGCTCTGGCGAACCTGGCAGGGAAGAGCTGTGTCGATCGGACCCTCTAGAGACGCCCCACCCGTAGCAAACCATACTCAACGCCTTCCCCTCGGCCTCTCCTATCAGACGGAGGAACATCGACCCGAGCCGCTCGAAGAGGACCTGAGATAGACCGCGTTCCGAGGCGGAGCGAAGCGAGTTATGGATCACCTCTTCCCGGTAACCCATCTTCGCATAAGCATGAGCGACCATCGCTACCTCCTAGAATCATGACGCAGGTTCGATTCCCGGTCACGGCATTTTCTCTCACTTGAGCATCGTAGTATCGAACTTCTCTACAAATATGAGGTGCTAGTGCAGCGAATACTCGACTGTCGTTGTAGTCCAGCTGACACAAGGCGCTGACAGCCTACGCCAAGGAAACATAGAGCTGAAGGGGTCCCTAGGGAGGCGTACCAGAGAGGTCGAATGGGGACAGAAGTTCTTCGCATTGGCAACAGTGTAGTCAGAGACAGCGGCTAGCAGTGGCAGAGGACGTATCCGGAACTTATGATAGGAGTTGATGAGAAGGGCCACATCCCTCGGTCGCCAATCTGAACACATATAAGGCACGACTACGCATCAGTAGCCTACTGTAACAGTAGTACTATCAACGACACACTACTGTTGAGGACACATGATAGTCGTAAGAACCAATATGGGAAAATATGCACGTGATCATCTACATGTATTGGTGATAATATAAAAACTCTGAGGAAATTTGGGAATGTCATCGGTTTCTGTATATTCTTCACCCGAATTTCAATGTAGCCTTCTGTGATCAGTGAGGAAACCTCCGAGCTCAGCCGAGGAAACCAGACCTACATCCCAACACCACTGTGAAAGCCACAGAGGCGGGATCAGCGGCACTTGCATTCATCTCACCATTATGTGGGTCCTGCCCACCCCCCGCTTCATTATATATCCCCAGCTTAGCTGCTGCTTTCCGTGCTGCAATATCGAACGCATTATCGGCCCTATAGTCAACCTGTGACCAGCAAATCACCCCACCTAGCAGACCAAGCCCTTGGCACCTGCACGAAGGCGTTGAGCGTCGCTGCTAACTGTCGGGGGTCCATCTGTCTCGCCAACCGCGGCAGTTGACTCGTCGAAAAGTCCTTCCACATAACTTCAAAAACCTGCACACTACACGTCGGTCGTCACTTTAATCATCGAACTCACTTTGCATCCTTTCGGTTTAATATGCAATCTCGAGAAGGCGCAAGTGAACCCTGTCAGGTCATGAGGACCGAAGCCCTGCCTTATCGGAATGCCGGCTTTAGTGCCGTATAAGAACTGACAGGACCGCTAGTGAGCTATTCGAAAACGAGTTGACGACTGCCGTAATGAGAAGATGGAAGTTTACCTTAGCAAAAGCCCTTATAGTAGTAGCAGCTCTCCAGCCCATTTCCTGATAAGCATAGACCATCTCGGTCATCGGCTCTATTGATGTAAGCCCATGAACGGTACGCCGAATCTGAGACTCCAACTTTAGGCATGTGCCTGTAGTACGGCTCCTCCTACCCTGTGATTAAGCGCCTGCACTAGCTCCTTATTCCGCATCTTGCTTTTCGCAATGATGGAGGCGACTTGCTCTGGCATGAGGCAGTGTTGGTTCTTGATGGTATACCTTCACTCGGGTACAAATCCGAGGCGGAGCGAAGCGATTCGAAACGATTTCCTACCGCATCAGGGCTTCCCAATCAGCAAAGTGCATCTCAACTGACGACGGGTCTTCCTTTGCCATGTCCGCCAGCTTCTCATAGACCTGATAAATTAGCAATGTTCTTGAGCGGAGCGGAGCTGCTGCTGCTGAACCAGACCTCGGGAATCATATCAGGCTCAAGATTATGAATCCGTCTAAGTTCAGGCAGCACCGGTCGGGCAAACCTAGCCGGCACGAAGCCTGCCTCGAACAAGTCTGAGAAAACCGAAGTAATGTAAGTGCCACGGGTCTATCTCCATACCGGCCTCATCCTGCGGGTCCGGGAAGTCCCTGTCCTTTGGGATGACCACCACACCCTGAGCGGGCCCTCGGCTGAATGACCGGCTCAGGAGGAGGAATACCTATGAGGCACAGCATGACAAGACCAAGATGAGTAGCAACCTACTGATGATCGCTGCTGCACTCCTATGGTGGTAGGAGACAACCGAGAGATCATCAAATCAAGGAAAGCGCCGCCTATTGATGAGTATCAATCCCAAAGCCGAGGGGCTCAGTCGAGAGAAGAGTAGTGACGGTATTAACGTAGGACTGAACGCAAGGATAGACTCAACGAGATCGTCACGAAACTTGGTTAATGCAGTAATGATATTCTTCTTAAACAGAGCAATAGGACAAAGAACAGGCTAGAGGGGGTCTGCCAAACAAAACAATTACAAACATACCATTCCTTCTTCACATCACGACGACATCACTTCAAACGTCATAATTGATGTCATAAGCCCTATGCAAATTGAGATGGCAGATTGGACAAGTGTGAGACGTATTCAGCCACCGACTCAAACACGCTCGATGGAAGCGATGACCACAGACGAGCTCTCGAAGCATCGGATACCGCGACTCCGAAGCCGCATACTGATGGTCCGTTGACGGGACTCTGGTCTGAAAATCAACTACAAGGCATCTTGCCACCCCCAGAGATTGACTCACATTGCTAGTGGTAAACCCGCCGGTCGGGGGAGCCGAATAGTCCTCATCATGATCGCTTAGAAACAAAAGGAGAGTCCTCCTCGTTAAGCCTTCTTCATCGCCATCATAGCTCATGTCCTTAGCGCAGATAGCACAAGTACCCTCATTAGGGCCCGCGGGGACCAGCCGAATACGGTTTATGATACCTGCCGCCAGTGTTGGAATATATGTTTGGTTTTCTCAGCTGAGCTCAAAAGTTTCCTCACTAATTATGAAAGTTCACATACAAATTCGGGTAGAAGTGTACAAAAAACAATAAGAATTTCTCGAAATTTTCTCAGAATTTTCATATTATCGTCAACACATGCAGTTGACCATGTGCATATTTTCCTACACTGCCTGCCACCATCATCATCATCCTTTCACACGGCCCTATGCAGCAACGACTAACCTACCCTTCTTGGCCGCCCCAGGCCCTTGGATCCACCCAGCTTTCACAAGACAGAGAGTGAGGGATACCTACCATATAGAAATAACAAAGTAGGAAGGGTAACTCAGTACAGTGAATAGGGTGAGTAGGGCCACCGACCACACGAGCAGACCGACCCATACAAAACACTGCACCAGGATGTACAGACTTGGTGCCGTTCTCGAACACGTCCGAGTAAGCGATAGTAAATGCAGGCCGTATCTGAGAGCACTCTCAGCTTGCCGACCGCTTAGTGGCACTCCTACCCGAACCATATCGGGTAAAATAATGAGATGATGCTTCGGAAAAGTACTATCAAAGACGGAAGTGGATCTGAATGACGAATTGAGCAGACGTGATTGGTGACCGCCAACCTGAATCCTGTAACGGTCTGCCGCCTCTCGCTATGCGGCAATATATCCATTCTAGGCCTTTCTGCAAGGCGTCTGTTAAAAACGTGATGACCATGTACACTTCCACCCATGGCAGTAGCGGTTGGTCGCAGTCTGACTGATAGAAAAACCAATAAGTTCATCCACGACAATGCACGAGAATGCTATCAACAATATTCCAAGTCCTCCTCGACGTACTTTCCGCGTAATGAAGACTTCCGTGAGAGCCCATATGAACAGCGCTGCATACGATACAGTTAAAACGACCACCATGCAAACGACGGCCTAACGATAGGAGATGACAGAAAATGAAGGCATCCGATTCGAGCCTTAACTCACCCATACAAAGCAGCGATATGACTGAACAAGCGTGGACACGAGCGTGTTCCGCATACGACGAATGGCATCTTCCTTCGTGCGAGGCGGTGGGTACAGCTCGTTCGATCTGGACCCGTATGGGTCCGACCTGGAACCCATCACAGGTGAGAAATAAAAACAACCAAGCACGGTACTCGTCAAGAGTATGAGCCCTCCGTCGAGGCACGACCATGTCGTTATCGAAGCTTTCTAGTGCCCTTCCCTCAGTCACCGTGGGCAGCAGGGGCTCTCCAAGGTTATCGGGGGATATCTAAGGGGAATGGTAACCACCCAAGAGGGCATGAGGTGATTCTTACGGATCGTCTATCATCAGTAGAATCACCACTACTCAGCCTTCCACTGCCAGAATCTAGTAATTTCGATCGTCGCCGAAACGGAAAAACTAAACACATGATTATGCGTTGTAATACAAACTTCCTTGCAATACACAAACGCTGCGGTCAAACAGACCTCATGTACAGCAGCGAAATGATGGAATTCTGTAAGAGTGACCCAGTACGAGCACGGTATTTCTAAGCGTGTGACCCGAGCCCTACTATAAGCCCCTCCCCTAGGCGTTGCTTGGCCCGTGCTCAGAACGCCCGACATCGACCGATACAGCAGCTCTGATGATGAATGGTAGCGCCTGAGCAAGCCATACAAGCGGACGCCTCAAGGATGTCTTGACGTACCCGCGCTAGTCCCAGAGACAGCCGATTCATTGTCTTCGTCGCGGTCACTGCCGTCTACCCCACTATCACTGCATCACTCATGCGAGACTCCTGACGGCTGAAAGTTCGGAGGAGCCCTCCGGGGCCTGGTATGATATAGGGAAGGAAGTTTGTCGTATAAGACGTATTAGACTGAGGTAACGGGGGTCTATTCATAGAGAAACAGGACGGCCATGGTCTTAGCCGCAAACTGATGACGATAATGCTCTCCCATGGTTAACTGCTATGAACAAGGCTGACTGCACTACGTTCACTGGGCGCCCATGATTATATAACATAGTTTATGATATTAATATATAATATAATGTTAATGATTATCGTATATGTTATTTAATATCTAATCCTCCAGTGAACTACCCTGACGAGGATGTATAGTAGAACCCCAAAGGGCCCTTCGAGACATACCAAGAAGACGTGACCACCGGGATGCCCTCTACCATCAACCACATTCCTCTTCACAAAAAAAACACCCACAGCTGAGCCTAGCTACTCGCCATACGCATGAATGTTTCCTCAACAGACAAGCCCGAGATCACAGCAACCCGACCGGCCTCCCCACACCATGAAGCTATAGTACACTACTACCCAACAGAGCACATGAAAAACAAAGGCTTATTGCTATTGATAATAGTTATACGTGATGATCGGTTGCCGGGTAGTATCCAAATCTGCAACAGAACACAAGTGTAGGAGAACTCCCCCCGAGGTCGACTTTTTCCTACGAGTTTGGTCCGGCCTGACAGCATGGCCAGTGTCATCAGATCGTAGTCTTCTGTAACACGCCTTGCAGCAGTAGGTGGGGTTGTTGGGTAGTACGGGGTCGTTCAAAACGACCATGTTGGCGAATGCGCTGTTGCACAACTAAAGAGACACACAGACGCTGAGGATACCAGCGTGGGAGAATATGCATATTGTCAATTACATGTGTTGGCGACAAATAAAATTCTGAAGAATTTTCGGAGAATCCTACCCGAATTCGAATGCAAACTTCTAGTTCAGAGGGAAGCGATCAACAAAAAATATTTTCCAACACTGCCAGAGACACTCAGCCGAACGCAGACTTACCGAACACATCTTCAAATACAACTTCTGCTTCTGGAACGTCCTCAATGGGTACACTTCACGTACCTATAATGACGACAGAAGATTTCCATGAAGGCAGCGCTGCAGTGTAGGAATAATCAACCACATATGTTGATGACAATATGAGAGTTTTGAGGAAGTTTCGGGAAATTCTCATTGATTCCTGTACATTTATACACAGATCCAGAGGCCAACTCCTATAATCAGTGAGGTAACTCTCAATCTCAGCTGAGGGAAGCGCACATATTTGCCAACACTGCAACGACGATCTACTACCAGCGAATGGACACGGCTGTCCAAAACGGTAGCATTGGTGAAGTAAATCCGCTCCTCCTCGTTGGTATAGTGCAGGTAGAAACAACACATTGAGTGGGCCTTCGGGGACAACCGATAAAGGCGATTCACTCTGACAAAGCACCCTGAGAATATAAGCAGTAGAGGCCTGTTTCCTACGCCTCTTGGACCGTAGTCGTTCGCATCTCGCCGAAAGTGACCTCGGGTAGGCCTGCTCGTTGTGTCGGGGTGAAGTTAGCGTCATGGACTCGTAGCCAGTTCTTGATGTAGCCTTCATAGTCGACTAACCTGACACTACTCTATGAAATTCACGCTTGATCGATATGCTACTTGTCGCTGGCCGAGGGCTCCTCTGGAGAGTCCGTGTACACAGTATGTCCCATAATGAGACAGGCTGACCTGGCGTACTTGGGCCCATCAAACACTCTGTCAGCAGAGAAACTGAAGGATTGTCGAAGTTCCTTCAACGTCTGACTACCCAGGACCTCGAAAGACTCGTAGTGATCGTTTTTACGGAAGTTTCGTTGGTCTGTGTGGTAGACGTCAACTGTTATGACCACTTCACTGCCATCTGGCATCCTGTGGAGATCCTCCCGACCTAGGAGGTCCTCCTCGGCATTCTTCACCAGCTTGGCGTGGTCCGAGGGTAGACCACTACGGTTGGCCTTGAAGGGTGCTACCCTGCGGACCTCGATGTGGCTCAAGGGCTTCCTCACTTCGCCTCCACCATAGTCATGTTTCAGTTTCTCCGATGACAGGTGCCCGACCCTGCGTGCTCGGTCTTCCCGTAATTCGTCCATCGTGGGAGGGTCCGTGCCGTCTTCCATACACCGGTCCAGGATCTGATTGGCCTCCACCATACGTGATGGGAATTGTATATCAACAGATGTGGAAACATCGTCAATTCGCAGGCTGGGGTCCAGAGGTGGGGTGAAGTCCCTGGATAGAGCCTTGAACGCCTTCAGGGCCAGCTTGGTGTCCTCAGCCCATTTGGTCAGCCCCCCGGCGTCAAGGACCGACGGCCGGTCACTTCGGCTCTGAGGACCACCCTGCCGAGG